TGACTGTATGATCTGGTGAACTGTAAAGTGCCTTGAAATGACATGTGTTGTGAATTTGGCGCTATGTAAATAAACTGAATTGAATTGAATTGAATCATACCGACCAGCATCACCAAACAGCAACCTAAGTCCACTTTGACACCCTTCCCATTATGATGCAGCTGTGCTAAAAGATTTCCTTATTTGTAAAATCAGAGCCAAAGTATAACTTCACATGATGCTCCACATTCCTCATTTTAGGGAAGAAAGTGCTTATCGTAAGAGTTGGCATAAAATACAACTTTATTTTTGCAATATTAGGACTTTATTCTCGTAATTATATGACTTTATTCTCATAATATGAAGGTTTTAATCTCGAAATAAAAAAATATACAAATCTCTAGCCTAAACCTAATACTCTGTCGTATGTACACACCCATTCAGATCTTTGGAGTAAAATAATCCCCACTGCATATGTCCAACGCCACTGTAACATTTTCTCTTTAGTCCTAAGAAGCCTCAGGTCAACTCACTAAATGATTCTTGTGCAAAATTCTGTTTCCCTGTGAAAATCTGTTCCGATAGATAGATAGATAGATAGATAGATAGATAGATAGATAGATAGATAGATAGATAGATAGATAGATAGATAGATAGATAGATAGATAGATAGATAGATAGATAGATAGATAGATAGATAGATAGATAGATAGATAGATAGATAGATAGATAGATAGATAGATAGATAGATAGATACTTGTTATATAAGCTCACATAGTCAAAGGAGAAGAAGGTGCTAAAGGAAGAAAAAGGTGCATGGGACATATACAGTATATACAGTGCATCCACATATGACAGCTTTTTTAATTTCTTTTATAGCAGGATCATTATCCAGGGTGTTTACATGAAATGCATTTCTCAATCTCTTGTTGAAGCTTAAAACACCTGTCAGACCTCAATAAACATTCAGTGTTTGCACCATAGTTGAAGGTTAGGTGAAAAAAAAACATATAGAGCAAATATTTGATCTTTTTTTTTACATTAGTGGCATCTTAAATTTAAACAAGTGAGGTTATATTGGACTGATCACATTTGACAATAGATGGAATTACTATGCATTAACCATTTTAATCATAACTTGTGACTCCAGCAGTATTGGTCTCAAATTCATGAGCATTTACGGAACATTTTCGTATTTATTTTCCCATTAAGTATCAACTAAACAAATATATTATCTTATTTGTTTTTCTTTTAAACTAAGCTAGATGTAAGCTAGATGATGTACAAGTAATATACATGTATTGATGACATTGTTATGGTATTTACATACTACATATAATTTCAAGATTACACATCAAGACTGAATTACAAGTACATGTCTGTTAATGCTATAATATTTTTCTATTTGTACATTGTGCATGCATGATGCCATTTACTTTTATACTCCTTCTATGCATAAGTCTTTAAAACTTTTTGAGTTACTTTATTTTATAGTCAATATAACATGCAATATATTTCTAGCCTAGTAAACTAGCCCCACCCACCAGAGGCCAAAATCATTTTTGCCTGCGAATTACACATTTAATCTCACATTTAGTCTGGTTTATCAGGCTAGTAGTTTCTAGCTGTAGTATTTGAAGCTGTGAGCTCATTTGTATTTTTGTGGATTTGTATTTATGTAGATAGACTGTACCTTTCTCAATTTCACGTTAATACAGAAACACTTCTATTTAATTTGTTAATTTTCTGTATAATTAAATACTGTATATTTGTTTCAGTGAATTATGTTTAGTTTGGTTGGGTCCTAATAAAGTCAAACAAATCCAATTCCTCAGCTGTAAATATTTATTAAAGTGCTTTAATTTCCCTGTTTATATATATATATAAATTTAAAAAGTACTCTCTCTGTATTATAAAGATCCCCATTTTTTTTGTGTTATTAATCCAAATTAAGCTAAAAACCAAAACTGAGGATGTTGGTTTTGAATATTGATTTTACTTGGTAGCAATCACGTTTTTTTATGCGTTAAAATATCGGTAGAATATAAATCCAAAGGCTGGAAAATGATGTAAAACTTTAAATTAGGTTGCCAACTTGGTTTCTAAATCATTTATATTTGTTTAATATAATCCATGAGATTTTAATAAATTACTTGATAATTTCTAATAATTTGCCTTTGGACTTTTCTATGTTTTTAAAAACTAACAATGCATCAGCTGCAAATAATGCATAACGGTGTTGTTGATGCCCAATTGTTATGCCTGTTTCATTCTAGCCAGTTCTTATGGTTATTGCTAATGGTTGAATAGCTTTAATAAACAGCAAAAGAGGTAAAGCATCCCCTTTACTGGATCCTTTATTTATTTTGATATTTTTACAATCAGTCTAAACTTGACTATGATAGAAATTTCCATTTGATAAAAAATTCACCAAAACCACAACACTTAAAAACCTCAACAGAAATAAATGCTCCACTCTGTAAATGTCTTATTCAGCATCTGATGACAGTAGAACCACTGCATCCATTTCCTGTTTTTATTCATCATATTTAGAAGTTTAACATTATGAAAACGTAACAATTCTTATCTTTAAGGATTCAATTTGCAAATATTTAAAACATTCTTTGATAGAAAATACAAAAAATATTTTATACCACTCTTTATATTAGATTTGCTGTCAGTCAATTAAAATAATAAATAAATGAAAGTTTGTTTTTAATACTTTGTGAACTGAGCTGATTTCATGTATTGTATGACGGATGTGTTTCAATTAACTTTTATAGGGCGAGTTAGCATTCTGGATCAATTGCATCCCCCTTACAAATGGAGCCCCCCCTCCCTCAGTGAGATCTAGAAGCAGAAGATCTATATCCAGCCATTCAGCAAAGATCCTGCTACATGGCTGTACATCTTATCTTGGCATTTGACCAATTAAAGGAGCCCTTTAATAATATATTACCTCCTGTAAATTAAGTTGGGGGAAAAAAGTTAACAAGTCAAGAAAAAAAGGTAAAAGGCTAATTGAAAAGTTAAAAAGGGAACATTTAAAAGTTAATAACCTAAACAATTATATTTAGGTTTATAAACAAACAAATGTTGGTGCCAGTATTAGCATTAATGCCTCTAAGGTTATGTTGTTTCACTCTGAGTGTTTTTCATGAATTTCTTATAGAAGCACTTTTGTTATTTTTCTCAATACATTTGGGCTAGTTGGCGTTTCTAGTTATTACATTGACATTCATTTTTACCATCAAACTATTCATATTTTTTAATGTTACAAAGGTAATAAGGTCTAGTCCTGGATTCCAATAACACTATTGGCTGGAAATGTAGATTTTCAAAGTATTTCACGGAGTGCCTTATAAAGAGATAAGGACACTGGGTTTAGTTTAATTTAAAAGCAATGACGCCATCTACTGGCCACTCAGAATTACTACATAAACTCCAAGACAAAAACCTCAGACTTTTTATGTGACTGACTGAGCATCCCAGGTACTTCACTGCTCCTGGATTCAAAGGAATAACCAAGAGAGCATTTTAGAACTAAGGCTAACACAGCATTTGTTCTACAACAGACAAAAAAGAATCATTAAAATTAATTCCCATTATTAACAAAAAAAAATAAAAAAAAGTCTAAAAACCTAATTGCAAACTTTAAAATAAACCAACAAGGGAAATTTGGATGGTTTTCAATTTTCACAAACAATTTAGGTGAGAAAACAGGCCAGCAGTTTATTGGCCAGCAAGATCTTTCACCTGTGATGAAAAAAAGCCATTAAGGCTCTGATGTTGCTGCTGGTAAAGCAGAGCGTTTTATTAGGCAGCGTTTCCAAATCCAATGCAAGGACTCTTTAAGGACCACAAACAGTATTTAACCTCTGGGAGGGGTTCATATGTGGAAGGATTTTAATGCAATTTAAAGTAAAAAAGATAAATAAAAAAAAAATAACATAGAATTTGTTAGAACAGGTCGAGTGATTACTTAGAAATCATTTTTATTTAACTTCCACCAATATATAAATATGAGCGGAGCTTCATTCCCAAGGACCTCATGAAAATCTGGTCTGTTTTTAGTGATTTATTTGGAAAATATAGATGTTTGAATTCATGTTCTTGTTGTTTATTGTGATCAGCAGAGATTGACTGTAAAATGTTTTTGACATCTGTTAATTTTCATCCTCCCCTCTGTGCAAACCTATAGATTTTTTCTGGAACCGCCACTAATGAACAACGACCACAAACCTGTTTTCTATGGTTTGTTACAGAGTGCAGTTTGATTTTAGCTCCCCTAACTTGAGTTGTTTTATGCTTTCTCTCCTTTTTATAGAGCTAACTGGCCGCCTCTACGAAAACATTTTCTGGAACTGCCACTGATGAACAACAACCACAAACTTTATAGACCTAATTTGTTCAGAAGCTGCAAGATGACCAGAACAATTGTTCTGTTTACATGAGAAACAATAATAACCACAAATATGCTGAAGCGCTGTACTATAGTAATATTAGAACTCTTGCTCCTGTTGACTTCAGTTTGTTTATTTATAAAGAACCAATTTACAACCAATTATTTCAAGAGCCTTAACAAAAATCAAACCTTTATTATAGTGATAATAAATAACAGGTGAAGATAGAATGACAGGAAGAACCAGAGAGAACCAGACTCATTAGGCAAGATTTGATATAATTTAGTCTTTTAAAATAAAAACAAGTCACAGCTAATGTCATATCAAGGCAATTTACATGAGAGCTTTAAAACAGAAACATGTAACAGAATTCAACACAAACAGAATTAAATTAATTTATAAACATCCAGTTAGATCCTATTTACAATATGATGAAGATAAATTTAGTGTATTTTGGCGTTTAAAGAAAAAAATTCAATCCAGGGAAGCTCAGCCAATCACATCCAGTCATGAATGCAGCAGTCCCTCCTCCTGAGCAATGAAGTGGTGACAGTAGAGAGGAAAACTAGCTTTAAGCAGGAAGGATCCTCCAGAAGAACCCGGCTCCATGTCAGCGCCCAGGACAGCAGACGTCCAACAGACACAGAGGCGCCGGTCCAAGGAGCAGCTGACCATCTGGAAAAGAAGAACAGGAGTTAGTGAGAGAACACGCTAGTCTGTGACATTTAAACACAGAAACACTGGGAGAGGTGGAACTTTCACCAAGAGAAGAGGAAAACACACAGAGAGAAGCTAAAGTTAACAGCAGTGATAACTGTAGACAATGGATGCTTGGAGAAAATGCCTGAAAATGCTGCATTTGTTGGAGTCTTCAGTCGGTTTCATCAGGTTCGTTTCTCTGCTTTAATAAGTTCTAAAAAACCCTTCAGACATAAACCAGGGGGAAATTCTCCCACATTGGATCAGAAGCTGCTTCTGAACCGTTAACTTCTGGTTCTGGTGAAGGTTTGGTTACAGAGATGAAAATAGAGGTTAACATCCATTCATGATGGAAAGATAAGGATTAAAGGTTAGACCACCTTGATGGGATGGCTGTGGTTTTTGAATCTCTTTGTTCTAGATCTGTTTTTAGTACCTTCACCAATACTGATGAATATCTGGAAGCAATAAAGGTTCTTTACCTTCTTTCTGGGTGGAGCAGACTGATGGTTTAGTTGTGGGGTCTTCAATGTTTTTCAGTCCAGGACTCTAGAATGTTGGAGAGACAAATAGAGGAGCCATGTTTCTCCTCCTTAGTGGTCTGTGTTCTCCATCCTCTGCTTCAGCTCCTTCATCAATGAAAGCAAAGTGTCCTCAGAGTCTGAAACTGTCTGCATGTGACGCCTCTCTAGTCAAACAACCAACATACCTTCAAACACGTGTGGATGGACTCTGCTCCACTGAGATCCCACTGCTAGATCACTGCTTCCATATTCAACCTGCTTCTCCTGTAAAAAAGAAGCTAAATTAATCCACAGAATTTTCTCGACACCAATTTTAAAGTTGAGTTCTCTGTTTGTCATGTTAATAAAGGCTTACTCCAGGTGTGTTCCTCTGTGCCGTCCTCAGGTGGGGACTAGGAGGCTCCTCAGCATCCTGGAGGTCCCGGTTCCTCACAGGAGTTCTGCTTTTGGACGTCCACAGTGTCTGAACATAAATGAAAAACTAAGTGAGGCCACCTGAAATGCTGACTGATCTAAATGATGGATGATTGTTGCTCGTTACTGTACATGCTCTCACTTTTTGTAAAGGTCAGCAGCTCAGATGATGCTCCTCTGGTTTGGTCGCCGTAGATCTCATCAGCATCTTCTGACGGCCCAAAGCTTGTAGAGGCTCGGTCCGACATGGGATTAAAAAAACCCAGAGGAGATCCAGTGTGGTCAGAACTGGCCTAGATCATATGTAGAGTATTTCTGCAGAGGGATATTTCACTAACTGACCAGAGGAACATCTAGAACTAGATCAAGTCACAGCTGAAAGCGGGTTCTAACAATCGCCGCCATTCACCACCCACATCCTTCCATCAGTCCTGTCCTCTGCTTTAAACTGCTCTGAGATCAATTAGTCCCTCCAAGCATCGTCTTTACCTTCTCACCATCATCCCAGAGACCAGTTCAACTGATGACCACTTCAAGCTGTGTCACTGTTCTATTCTAGATCTAGATCTAGCAGCATTGTCCTGCTCTAGATCAGGGCTGTCCAGCTCCACTCCTCCAGAGCTGCTATGCTGCAGCTTTTAGTCACATCTCTTCTCCATCAGACCTGAATGGAACGGCTGATTTCCCTCATCAGTCATTCAGCTCTGCAGAGGTCTGGTAAAAGGCTGTTTGTTTGATCCTGGTGTGTTGGAGGAGAGATGCGCCTGAAAGCTGCAGAAACACTGCTGTAGAGGACTGGAGTTAGAGAGCTCTGCTCTAGAGAGCTTCTAATCAGTCTCCACTACAGCCTTGTCCCTCTGCCTCTAGACTTTAAGTTGTCCTCATCTCCACTTTTAGACCTTTAGGATCTTAGTTTGACTTCCTGTGTTTCTGTCCTCAGCAGTGATGTCTCACTCCTTAGAGGTTTTGATGCGTCCCCAGCAGCGATGTCCAGCTGTTGCCTCGGTTTAGTTTGCCTCCTTGAGCTTCGCCTGTTTTCAACCAGAATTTATGTTTTTTGTCTTTTTATTTATTTTTTCCATTTGCCTCCGTTCTGTGATTGTGTGGATTGTTTGGTTTGCCTTCTGTTACTTAGGAGATTGTCCAGCTCTGTCATTAGACGTAGAGCATGTTAGATTATTTCTGCATTAACCAGCTCTCATGTTTAACACCTTTTATAAATTGTTAGCACATCTCCAGTCTCTGCTCAGATGTCTGTGCTAAAGGAAAATTCTTAACATCTAAAACTTAAAACAAAATCTAGCAGCGGGGTAAAGAAAAGCCACGGTGCAAGATGCTACCTAAGGCATCCCTAGACCTGCCAGATATTCAACCAATCAATAAATAATATCTAAATGTGACTGTTTCCAGTCTTTCAGCCTATCCACCTCCAATCGTCATCAAATCACCAAGAAAATACATCTAACTCCTCCTGCAAGATGATCCAAAGCAAGATGGTAAAATGTTTGGTTCTTCTGCTTAAGTCTCAGCTTCTCTTCAATGTGAGAAGCTGTTAGAATAGTTAAATGAAGATTCTTGATGAAATTCCTCTCCTCACTATTCCTCCCTACAACAAAACTTCTTGGCAGGGGACTCCTCTTCATCTTCGTCTTCCCCTCTTGTCCTCCTCCAGGAGACAGAGCCGGTCCCTGGAGGTCGGTGGTCTTCTTCGCCCTGTGGTGGAAGGTGGTCACCGTCTTCATCGTCTTCTTCCTCAGAGCTATCACAGCTATCATACATGGAGCCGTCACTAGACCCATCAAGAGACTGACCAGTAAGAAGCCACCAAACCTCCTCATAATCCTCTGTCACTTCATAAACCAACACCACCGCTTCAACCTCTGCACCTTCCTCAGTAAAAACTTCCTCATGGTCCCTGGAGAACAGTTCTATACTGATAATTAAAGGAAAATCAACCTGATCAGTGATCAAGATGCAGAGCTCCAGGAAGGGATCAGGGGCGTCTGGAGCAATGAGGAAAAAATCATTAGACCAGGAACATTAATTAAGGAACATTAAATCACAAAACTCAATGCTTTATTTTAGGTTGCTGGATGTGCCTGTGTGAGTTACTCAGGTTTACGTAGATTTAATCAATAAGAACATCTGTTAGCTAAAACTAATAAAAAAAACATCTAAACAATGCTAGTGGTTTGATTAGTGTCAAAAGAACAATTTAAATCGTTCTAAAATAACACATACATACAAAACTACACAGCAAATTTGGCAGTGTTAAATACGCTGTGTTAAAATATATTTCCTCTTTCTGAGTAAAAGCAACAACAGGTTGAGTAGAATGCCCCCTAGTGTTGGTGAAAATCATCAGAGTTCAAAGACGGCGTGTTAACGTGACTCTTGAAAGCTCCACCCACTTTTTCATCTTCAACCGTTTCTAGACTTTTCTGGCGGGGTGGTTACAGGTTATCTCCTCTCCTCTTCGAACGATTGTGGTAAGTGTTATCACTTTTTATCCGAATTCTATGTTGGGATTTAACCAAAAATGTGTTTTATGGGAACACCTTGTTGTTTGGCTCCGTATTTTAGCACGTTTTTTTTTTTTTACACCACAAATTCAAAACAGCTAACGTGACTGAGTGAAAACCTAGCTTAAAACGCGCGCGTTCCCAAGTTGACCAGTACCGCAAGGTAATTAACTTACTGTTGCACTTGATTTAGAAGTATAGCTTGGTTTTATTATTGATAAAAATGCTTTAAAAATTGTCACGGTATGAGGAAAAATTACCCCGCGCCGTTTTAAACGCGGTTCAAAATCAACTGTAACATTAAAACCATCAAGTAGACGCCATTTCCACCTTTATATTTATTTCGTTTTCTTCTAAACTGGCAATGGTTTACGTAAGTTGCTAAATTAAACGTTTGCATTACTGGTCTAACGGTGATATTTGAGGATGTGGTTTAACATAAGGCTACGTTAAACTTTAGGAAGCAGTTTGAATAATGGCGGCATGCTTTTCTTCGGCTTTGTCGACGTACAGAGTAAGCAGAGTATATTTGCATGATTTGTAGTAGAACGGGAATACATCCTTGTAACATTTTATCTGTCGCAGTGTAAGGCGTACAGTCAGTCATCAGCTTTCGCACCCCCCTCCCATTGAACATTAATCTTGAACGTTTGTGATGCTACGGGGATGCTCTTGTATGTCATCCACTTGCTGTATTTTTTTTATGTAATGACCATATACAACTTTGACCATGTTCAATTGTGTGCTGCAGGAATCATGTTGATTAAAACCAGACTGGGTGATGTCCAAAAATTTGTCAGAATAACAGAGCCGAATCTGAAAGAGTTTTTGGTCGCAGGTAAGAAATCGACTTTGGAGTCTACTTTTGTGCTGCAAGCTTTTAAGTGCTTCGAATAACTGGAAATATATGGAGGATAAAAAGTGCCAAAATTAAATAAATAATTAAATGTGTCAATAATTAAATGTGGAATTAAATAAATAAATGTGTCATTAATTAAAACCACGTCACTAATACAAAGTGCCACAATTAAATAAATAAATGTGTCATTAATTTAATAAAATACGTCTTAATTTTATAAAAAAAAATTGATATAATTATTTCAGTATGTATTTAATTATTTCAAGGTCCTGTGTTGCATGAAATCATTAAATGCACACTGAAATAATTATATATATTTTTTTAAATAAAATGAAGACGTATTTTATTAAATTAATGAAACATTTATATATTTAATTCCTTATTTATTTAATGAATTACACATTTAATTGTTTATCGCTGTATTTATTTATTTATTTAATTGTGGCATTTTATATTTAATTACACATTTAATTAATTATTGACACATTTAAATATTTAATGCTGTATTTATTTATTTAATTTGGGCTTTTTATCCTCCATAGGAAGAGTGTCTCTCCTCATAAAAAGATTTATTGGATTTTTGTGAGCATTAGAAAAATATTTATAAGTTTGATTGACATAGGTATTTGTCTTCCTATAGCATTTGCAAAGTTTGGTGTGCCAGCTCTGACAGAAGATGTGAAAGTTTTTGACACTTCGGGAACTGAGTTGGATGATGATGTATTTGAGGATGTAGTTAAGGATCCCTCAACTGGAGTGCTAACCATCAAACTTGACACTGGTTTGTCTCAGTTGCATATGTAATTTATATTACAGTATTGAATAAAATACAAGTTTAGTGTGATAAACATTTTTCCTTCAATCTGCTCCTGTCATGAACAGAATCTGTTTCTATGGTGTCTCCTGAGCAATCGGAACCATCATCCCTCAATTCGTCTGATTCTCAAGACACAATCATCCTTTCAGAGAGTCCTTCCAGTAAACGGCAGAGGCTGGACACAGAAGCCAAACATGTAAGAATTAATATAGTAAAACAGTGTTAGGTCTTCAAAGTGGTGGTGGTGGTTTTTTTTTTCCTGTTAAAGTGGCATTTTAATAACCATTCGGTTCATATGTCTTTATGATGTATTCTTAAAAGATAAGTACACCCACAGAATGATGTGCCTTCATTTTCTGCTCGCCCTCATGCTGAGCAAGACTCTGAAACACTTTTTTAATATTCAAATGCAGCCAGAGGTCGGAGACAATTTTGAATTTCCGGCTGCATTTGAGACATTAAAAACGTGTTCCAGAGTCCTGCTTAGCATGAGGGTGAGGAGAATATAAAGGTACATCATTCTGTGGGTGTACTATCCCTTTTTTCTTCCTCTTTGCTTATAGTTGGTAGAAACCATTTTGACCAAGAAGCCAGGTGGGGAAAGCATTATAAATGAATATAATCGAAACAAGTCCTTGACAGATGAAACCAGAAGGAAAATGGTGAACATACTAGCGGCTGACATAACAGAGAAGAATGGGTAATTTGTCAATCCTTTCTGTTTAGCTCAGTAAAACTTTCATTAAAATCAGTGCATACAACTAAGACATCTATATTTTTTTTTCTCATTTCAATGTTGCAGTACATCACCACCCAGACAGGTAAAAGAAATGTATGCCAGAGGTATTGTGAGCTTGTTTCCCCACCTCAGTGATCCATTCTCTAGGACTGGCTCTGTAAGTCAATGTAATATAGACAATATAATGGCTGTGATAGTGTCAAATGTTAAACTGAAACATTTTGATTTCTAACAGTATATTTCAATAGCTACTTTCATCTTTAAGTGATAAAATTGCTCTGCATACATAACTTTTTAAGTTGCAAGTTTTTTTTTATTATTTCCTGCATCACTTTTTTTATGTGGGTGGGGTTATATGAAGGATGAGGGTGCAGAAGTGGGAGGTGGTATATTCAAATAACACACTTTTTTTGTTATGTCAAAATCAAATGGGAAGCACCTTCAATCTAATTAACGGACTATGTTTATTCTTTATCATCAAAGGAGCATTATTATGATGGTGAAAGTGGGTCTGGGTACCTGGCCTGGAGAATTAAAACTATTCAGAGATCTGCTGCCAAAGAACGTCGATCATCATATGGAAGTAACACTAAATTAATTCTGAAAACTTTTCTTTGGTCAGAGTTTTTTTTCTTCTTATTTTTATATGATTATCTTGTTTTTTGTATATGTAGCATCATCTGCAGGAGCATCTCATGAAGATGGACCTGGAGGACCAGCTGCCAGACGAGAGCCCCAGTTTGTCCCAGAGATTGTCCTGAGTGAAGATGAGTGTAAGGAAGCTGTCGCATTGATGAAACATTCAGCTGATGAGGACACCATCAAGAAAAAGATGAAGCTGACATTTGACTTCCGCCGCAACATGGTCCTCGACCCACAGCAGTCAAGCAACATACTGTCTGTCTTTCCACGTTTCAAGGATGTCAAAGGCTTGGTAAATATTTCTGATTGACATTTTTAAAAAGGATATGTATATTTTACTGGCAGTCAACAATGAACGTAACTTGTTGGGATGTGAAATCTTAGTTCTAATTTATCCATACTCTAGGTGGAACAGGATTTTGTTCTGATGTTTGGGGAAGATGCCTCGGGGAAGTTTCTGGAGAAATGGACAACCGCATTCAAGAAAAAGATCATCCAACAATGCAGAAAGCTTCCATCGACCAGAGAGCTTGAAGATCTCCTCCTGGCAGCTGACACTCCTGAGGATGGCACTGAAGTGGATGACGACATTGGTAAGCTTGACTTTTTCCACATTCCACTTACACTTGTGTGTTTAACCATAGCCCATGTAAGAGTTAAGTAAGGCAATTCGGGGGCTGTATGTCCTATACTTCATATAAATATTGAATAATTCATTTACAACACAAGTTAAACTTTTAACACAATTTCTTACACTGTGGGACAATAACAAAATAAAAGCATATTTGCAGTGCCTTTTGGTTAGCACATTTTTATAGTAGTGCTGTGTATGAACAGCACAGCTACTGTTGCCCTGAGGTGCAATAGATTTATTCAAATGTGAAATGCTTCAAAAATGTTTTGTGTTAGGAGTAGTGAAAGTTTTAAATATAAAATAGCTCAGTAGAAACAGAACTGATGATCATATACACCTGCTGCCTTGTATTTTGTTGAAAGGGAAAATATTGAAATAGCAGAATAACTAAAATTTGCTGATTTTCTACTTAACATCAAATTTGTGTGATTACAGGTTGGGACAGTGACCTCGCATCAATTTTGCTGCTGTTACACCTGATTCCCCCCTCTGCCCAAGGCCGCAAGAGACCAGGAAAGGTGTCTGCTTCCCAAGCAGAGAAGCATCTGTTAGTCTTCAAGAAGGTTTGTTTTTTTTGTTTTTTATTTATCTATTTTATTCAACGACGTTTCATTGAGGGAGCCTTGGTTTTACTCATGATCACATACAGTTAAACGCTATACATAAACAAAAAAACGTGTTAATTTATTATTTATTTGTGTAATATTGCCACCATGTAATTGTAATACTCTGTTTTGTGTTTTTGTTTTGTCAGTCAGGAACCAGTATCCAAGAACATCTGGATTCTATCACAACAAGCACACAGCCCTACCTCCTGGCTATAGGACGAAGTAGGAAATCAGCCCACCAATTTTTCATCATACTTGACAAAAGTGCCATCGCTTGCAGGTCGGCCTCCTCAATTGGTGCCTTTGACGAACTGTTTAAAGCGCATTATGTTTTTGCAACAACATACCACCCGATGCTGTACAACATGTTCACGTTCATCCAGACCACTGTGTACAACATAGATGTAGGAAAAGTCAAGGAGAGTCCTCGTGTAGCTGAAGTTCGGGCTCGGTTGCTTCATTAGTACACGAATGGATCTGTTCAGTCATGAAGTGTTTTGTCTGTCAGTCTGAATTACCTTCTGCGAATACTCTTGTTAGGCATTTACGAGTAGTTCATGGTTACTTGGATGGAAAAAATCTTCGTCTTAAATGTTCTCAGACTGGATGTGGCCGTGTGCTTGGAACATTTTCTGGGTTTAGAAAACATTTAAATGCCAAGCACACTGACAATACTAATCAACAAGTTAACGTCAGTTCAAGCAGAGCAGACCTTGGTGATGCAGGAGAGCTGGTGACAACTAATGTAGAGTCGGCCACAACATCTACCGGTACTCTGCTGACCAAGTCAAATATCAGCACTACAGATATGTGTACTACTGCTATTGCACAAGTAAAAGCAGCTGGATTAAGTCAGTCTAATGTTGCGAGGTTTGTGTCAGCCATGGAAGAAGTCATTTTTGAAATCCACAGCCAGGCTAAGGATTTAGCTTTACAGTGCTTGTCTCCACAGGATGAAGAACAAAGAAAAAAAATTGAACAGTCCTTCCAAGTATTAGAAAATCCATTCACACCTTTAAATTCAGAAGCAAAACTAAACAAACATTTACGAGAAAAATGGGGACTTTCTGAGCCTGTACAAAAAGTGCTTGGCACAAGATTTGACAGCAGGAGAAACAAAACTACTGGGACATATGATCAAGTCATTGTAACTGATACATTTGCATATATTCCCATTTTGGAAACACTGAAGAGTATTTTACAAGAAGGTGATACTGCAGAAATGTTCAAGCCCAGGTATATTCCCAGGGAAGGTGTGTATGCAGACTTGAGAGATGCCACTTATTTTAAAGAAAGTCCCCTATTCTCAATAGAAAACGATGCCTTGCAGATTCAGCTTTTTTATGATGATTTTGAAACTGCAAATGTCTTGGGATCCAAAAAGGGTTTGCATAAATTAGGCGCTATATATTTTACTTTAAGAAATTTCCCCCCAATTTTTAATTCATCTTTAAACAATATTCATTTGTGTGCTCTATTCCATGCACAGGATATCAAGCGATACAGTTTTAATTTGATACTTGAACCACTTGTTTGTGATCTGAAAGTGCTTGAGACAGAGGGACTTCAAATTCCAAATGTTGAACACAAGATTCGTGGTACTTTGGTTCAGGTTACTGGGGACAATCTTGGTTTACATGGCCTGTTTGGCTTTGTGGAATCATTTGGGGCTCGATATTGTTGTCGTTTTTGTCTCCTTGAAAAACACCGTTTTCAAACTGTATTCTGTGAAGATGATCCGGAAGTTGTCTTCAGAGCTATCAATACACATTCACAGCACTGTCAGACTGTACAAACAGACCCAAGGCTGCCTCATGTATATGGTGTGAAGCGCATTTGTCTTTTGAATTCACTTCAATATTTCAACACAGCCAACAACTTCTCTGTTGATATAATGCATGATATTTTAGAGGGGGTTGGTCAGTTTGAGGCGAAACTGATTCTGAAGTACATTCAAAGTAACTTTCTAAGTGCTGAACAAGTGGCTGGTAGAATACATGCATATGATTATGGTTTCAGCCAGCAGCGAAACCGTCCACCTCTGCCAACAGATAAGTTAAGGGATGGTAGTAATGACCTGGGACTAAATGCCATACAATCTTGGTGCTTATTACGCAATATGCCTTTGTTATTTGGTGATTTGATTGAAACAGATGACAAACATTGGGATCTTTTAATTTTGCTTTTACAGATTGTCAATATTGTATTTTCCCCAGTCCTGTCAGAGGGCATGACCATATACCTCAAACATTTAATCATCAATCATCATCAGTTGTTCAAGCAAATATTTCCTGAAATAAATCTCTTGCCAAAGCATCATTTCATGATACATTACCCTCGTAGCATAAGGAAAATCGGTCCCATTTTACACACATGGTGCATGCTTTACGAAGCTAAACATAATTTCTTCAAACAACAATTAAAGAGTTTTAAAAACATTACAAAGACATTAGCAAAAAAGCACCAAAGTTATATGGCACTGGTTCGTGAATCTTTTGGCAAGGAAAAATTAACTTTAGGTCCAGGAAAGATGGTGACTCTTAATGAGTTAAAACAGGGCACAGCAATTGCTGCAAAATTTGGAACAGTTTTGTCAACCAGTGTATTTTCTGCCAAATGGATCAAATATCACGGTACAGAATACCGTCGTGACTTTCTTATATGTACTGAAGTAACAGATGAGATGCCTGTTTTTTGTAAGATTGACGTGATTGCTGTAAAAGATGACTGTGTCTTGCTCTGTGGAAAACTGATGGAAACCTTGTGTTTTGATAATCATTACCATGCCTTTAAGGTCAGGCTGCATCCAGATAATGTTTTAAAAGTGTTGCACATAAGTGAGTTATTTTACTTTAAACCGTTTGATCTTCAGATGAAGTATGGTACCACAGATAACGCCCTATATGTTGTTCCATATTGTCATTTTATGCAGACCTAGGGTCAGTTTTCTTAAGTGTTCGTGTTCAACTTCATATAAGCTGTTTATCAGGGGCCCAGTAATGGAGCAGCAGGCACACATTTTTGTGCATATGAATACGTTGCATGAGGATACCTGGCACGGCAGGTACACCTATTGCATGTCAATTCACTTTTTTTTTCTTTTTTTAAATGCTGCATATGAACAGTTTTATGGAGAGTTTTGCACATAAATTATCTTTTACTTCTTATTGTTCACTCTTCAAATGAAGTATAGGACATATGGCCTTATATGTTGTTCCATATTGTCATTTTATGTAGGCCTGGGGCCAGTGCTGCTAAGTGGTACACTGTTATGACCTGTTACATTGTCTTGTGCACCCAAAAGTTTATGTGCATGCAAACAAGTTGCATTAGGATACCTGGCACGGCAGGTACACCTATTGCATGACTTCATTTTTTTTTTCTCCTTTAAATGCTGCGTATGTAAATGGTTTCTGGAGTATGTTTGTAATGGTTAAAAATGCCAAATTAAATATTTTTCTAACATGCTTTTGTGAAATAAAAGTTCTGAAATGTATTTTTGCAATAACTTGTTTTTATTCATTGATATTTATAAAAAGTGTAATAGATGCAATTTAACACTACAAAAGTGTAAATATTTATCTGTACAGTGTTAATGGCTTTTAGGATTTGACTCAATTTGAGTTGGGGTTTTTTCACTGCAACAGTGTAAATCAAGACATTAATAGTGAACAGTTAACACAGTTATGAGTCTTCAGTGTTCACCTCCATTAACTCAGTGCAAGGTTAAAAAGTATCTGTATCAGAGTTGATTTGTCACCCCAATAGTGTAACTCTTCAACACTCCTGAGAATCATTTTAACTCTCTCCAGTGTTAATAACCTACAGTGTTAAGTTCTATTAACACTGTACAGTGTAAACCGGTGTTAAATTTTAACTCAATTCTGAGTTAATTTCACTCTGAAATTTCAGCACTTTGGAAAGAGTTAATTCAACACTATTTTGATAAGGACCAAATACACTCGGATATAGTTTTAAATTTAACTCTATAAGTGTTGATTTAACACTGCAAAATTTGCTGTGTACACACAAGTATTTCCATATATGTATATATCTGTGTATATGGTCCTCGGCATCAGTGGGAGGAGCATTTTTCTAATTTCACCGTCACACTAAGGAACGATTGTTGTAAAGGGAGGACATTTTGCTGGTCCTCACCAGCTATTCTGCTGACAGCTAATTTAAGAACAAAACACTACAATATCCTTTAAATCACAAGAAAACCATTAAGTTGTAAGTTTATTTTATATTCAAATCTTTTTTTTACCGGTTAATTGGGTTTAGATTTTTATTTCAGGATGTTAACAATAAAAAAATACGCTCTAAATGGTGCACTTATTTATTTTATTTCGATTACGCTCCCTGCAATTACAATAAACTCCCCCTAGGGGGCACGCATCCCCCCTTTGGGAGCTGCTGACCCAAACTATTCATTCAGATTAGTTCAGATTAAAGGACATTTTAATGCAGCCAATAAACCCTTTTTTTTTTATCTTTATCAGAAAAAAAAAGTTCCACTGGGTGATTTGGTAATATAATCATGAATATTTGAATTTTAATAACTATAAGCAGAAAATTGTAATAATTGACAGAAATAAAGGCTTAAAAGCGTCACGATTTAAATTTCAGATCTATAATTTCTCAGAATCAGAACCTCAGCTTATCAGACCCCTTCCTCAGTGCATCCTAGAGTAGAAATAAAGACCTTTATTAACACATAAAAAGCCCAGAGCAGAAATAGACATTAGCAAACTATTTAGAAGAATTTTGTTTTTTTTTCTAAAAACTCTAAGAAAGGGTCCTATACAGAACTTTTAATGGTTTAGGCGAAACCCTCCAGTGTTGAATGTTTTGAAGTTCTAGAAAATGAGACCTCAATGATAAAATTGTATAGCGCTTGGGATCCGCGTTGCATTGTGGGACGTGGTTACGCCTCCAGGCAGGAAAGCGGTGGAAAGTTAACCCATTTTCTATGTTTTTCCCATGGCGATCATGTGTTGCGCTGTTACAGCCCACAATACAGCAACGGTTTACCATGGTTGAAATCAAGTTAAGGTGAAATTAATCAAATGAAAACACGGCTGAGAGGGAGTACAGTACGCGGTAGTCGTAGGCAGTAGTCTGAGCAGCGGTAAAGGAGGCCATCAACATGGCGGCCACGCAAAGTAATTACGTCATGACGCCCAAGCCCTATAATTACTGGTGACAGATGGGATGAAATGATTTATATTCACCGGAAAATTTAAACAAGGGCTGAAGAAAAATGAAGAATGAGCTCAGAAATACGTTTAAATAATATATTGTTCTAAAATGATGTTTTAATTCTACCTTCTTCATGTAAACATAAAAATATCATCCTCCTTTCTAAACTCTTGATTAAACATTTATTCTCTATGCTTTCTTCACACAGTTAGCAATGGCAGCACTTATAATAAACTTAGTCAACTTTTAAACATGTTACAGCCAAAACATGTAAAGGATCTCATCTTTTTTCCACAATAATTTTAAACTTTATAGTTGTTATTGTTGTATCCATGGAGACCATACTTGTTCTCTGTCAGAAGGGGCCAGACGCCATCTTGTTTTAAAAGGATTTGAAACCAAATTAACCAAAAATGATCCTTTGAAACCAGAAACTTTAAAATCAAACATTTTTAACACCTTTGGCCTTCCATTAAATTCAAAAATATATGCCACCTTAAAAAAGCCTTAAATGTGTTCAATGCATTCTACTAAGGTATCCATGGAGACCAATATGTTTACCACAGTTTTTTTTAAAAACCCTCCCCTTTCAAGTTATAATGTATTTAACAACATTTATTTTATCCTTTAAACAATTTGTTTTGTATTTTTTTCAACCATTTCCACATGAACTTAATCAAAAATTATCCTCTCAAACCAAAATGTGTTTTTGTTTAGTATCATTACACCTCTGTTATAATTCCTCCTATTTCCAAGCAATAAAAATCACTTTAATACATATTACCCTATAAAAACAATTTTAAAACGTATTTCCTAAACACATTTATTAAACTAAACAACTTAAGAATCTTTATTTCTTATTTTTTCCAGTTGTTTATCAGGTTTATATTCAGTAGACTTCCAAAATACTAAAAATAAGAACTTTTTTATTAAATAGAAAAAATAAACAGTTTGGCTTGATATAAGGCTCGGGCACATGACGTCACACGTTGCGCGGCAGCCATATTGATAGCTGGTTAGCCCACTGCTTACACTTTGACTTCGCGCCTGTAAGGACTAGCTTTCTTCAGTTAGTAGTTTGCCGTTTCATTTTACCTCTGCTGTCGTTATGGTCGCCCGTTGCTGTGTCGTACGGTGTAGTAGCGCAAGCTGTGACTGGACGGGGAAAAAAATCCCAAATGGATTATCTTTTTACCGTTTTCCAACCTGGAGGCGTCTCAATGGAAAACAAATGTCCTCCATAACAATGAGTCGCCGGCTAGCATGGGTCGCTGCTGTAAGACGGCCAAATATAACTTTCCACTCAATCCCTGCGTCCATGAGAGTGTGTTCCCGGCATTTTCATTCTGGTAAGTTACAGAACATACTGTTTTTATTCATGTATCATTTCAAGTTAACCGTTGTTGGCTGATCTGTAGCATGTAGCATGAGCTGAAGTAGGGTTGTGTTCCAGAGGGTTAGCCAGGTCCACTGAAACACAAAACAGTTGTCCTACTCTGTTTATTTTGTCATTAATAGTTTATAATAGGGTTAATAGTTTTGGTTGTTTCACCAGGAAAGCCAGTAGATGCAATGTACACCTCCCATCCGGATTGGGCACCATCACTGCACCTGGGACACACTGAAACAAAGGCCACAGAAACGGCACGCTTTGAGAGACAGCAAGTAAGGAAACGCCGAAGGACTGAGACCACATCAGCAGTGGATGACACAGTGATGCCTGAGACAACCCCTGGCACACCTGGTAAGGCCTACAAAACATGCATAAAAAAAAAATAACCTTGTAAGGCAGGGGTCTGCAACCTGCGGCTCCGGAGCCACATATGGCTCTTTGGACCCTCTCCACCGGCTCTTAATACTGGCTAAAATGTATATAAAGAGCTAAATAATTTACTATAATATATACCGGTATCAATGGCTTTAGCGTTTTTTATAAGATGGAAGAGAATGGGTTTAAAAGAACCAGAAATATATTTTCAGAGACATTTCTCTATGAATTAGCTGGAGTATTATATGCTTTAACATTAAAAATATATGAATTTGTTGTTTGAGATGGCAACAACTAATTTGCTATACAAGCTTTTAAAAAAAAAGGTTTTCTAGAAAAAGTCATGTTATTAATTGCGGCTCTAAACAACTTTTATTTGGTCGTACTCTGGGCAAAACGGCTCTTTGGATATGAAAGGTTGCAGACCCCTGTTGTAAGGGCTTTGAGGTCTTCTCTCCAGCAGGAGTGTCGTTAAGGATTATTACTATTTTATTCTCATGCAATGTAAATGGTTGTGAAATAACATGAATAATTTGACTTTGGAGTAGAGGGTCATAAGGCTTATATTTATTACAGTCTATTTGCTGTTGTTGTATTTGCATGACACACTGAGCTAAACAAAAACTGTCTGTCATCCATAGCTGAAGATTCACAACATGAAGCTGAACCAGGACCAGGGACAGAATGTGACCTCTGCCAGAAACGGCGCGATGAAATCAACCGTCTGCTGGAGGAGAACAGGGCCCTGAAATTAGAGCTTGGTCAGAAAAAAATGGATGAAGATTCCCTGAAGGGCGATAATGTGAGGCTGAGGTATTACACTGGACTACCAAGTGCAAAGATTTTCATGTCTCTCTTAGCCACTCTACTGCCACTCATGACACGAAGCAGTAGAGTACTGTCACCATTTCAAATGCTCCTCCTCACACTCATGCGCCTCAGACTGAACTTGCCGATGCAACATCTAGCCTACGTCTTCAGTGTTGACAGGACCACCATCTCCAGAACCTTCAATAGCATGGTAGAACTTTTGTACTGCACCATCACACCTCTGATCGTCTGGCCAAGTCGAGAGGCCCTGTGCTCCACTATGCCCCATCAGTTTGTGGAAGCCTTTGGAAATCGTGTTGCTGTTATTGTGGACTGCTTTGAAATATTCACAGAGAGACCATCAAATCTTACTGCTCAAGCTCAGGCTTATTCAAACTACAAGCACAACACAACTATGAAGTACCTTATTGGAATTACACCATACGGGACCATTTCTTTCATTTCCAAGGGTTGGGGGGGGCGCATCAGTGATAAGCATGTCACAGAGAACTGTGGTATTCTTGATAGATTACTACCCAGAGATGTAGTGTTGGCTGATCGGGGCTTTGATATTTCTGAAAGTGTGGGACTTATGTGTGCAGAGGTAAAAATACCTGCCTTCACAAGAGGACACTGTCAGCTGGAAGCTAGAGATGTGGAGAGCACCAGAAAACTCGCCCATCGCAGAATTCATGTGGAAAGGGTGATTGGGGTTG